CAAGATACTACAACATTAGTTACCCTAGGTCGCTTAAGTCTATTTAAGCGACCTAGACTGACTAAATTCTTATTCGAAAATTAACGATTGCTTCCAAAGTTATCTTTAGCGAAATAAATGGGAATTTTCACCAATTTCGGGAAGCCTAAAGGTGGCTTGCTGGTTTGTGTAATCGCTTTATCAGCCATAGAGGTGGATCCGTTTAATGCTCACAAAACTCTGTCGTTTATCCGTAACCCAGGCTGTGCTAAAATTTTGTCTGCTTGTATGCGTGACTGTTGTAAAAAGTGTGCAAACGAATCAAGAATGAGTTCGATTGCGACGTCAAATTCTACTCTTAAACTGTTGCTGTTTCTCCCAATCGCAGATCAAGAGATGTTCGATAAGGCTCAACCGAACTTGCGAAAAGAATGACTCAAGAGGGTCATGGTTCAGGGAAGTTTGGGCACAAGGCGGTCACCCGAGTATGAATGTCTTTGGACTTATCCAACCTAGGCAACGGTGGGTTCCTCTGAGACCTAGTCGTCAGCAGGTCTGGGCGAATCTGGCGGAGGTAGGGACCAGGTGAAGTGGGCAAGTGAAAAGGAGCTCATTCCTGTCTTGTAGAATAGACAAGAGTACTCACCTGCCCAGGACTAGTCTCCATGGTCTCAGGCGCGGCTTGTCAACAGCCCGGTCTATTGATCCACATGTACGGCTCCCGTTGCGCTTGGTCGCCAGCCGAGTGAGCACAGAAGAGGGCCTCAGTGTTCCGACGATAACTCCTGAGCACACGTACCCTGTCGGGGGCCAGTTCCGTGCGCAGGGCAACAGGGCAACAAAAGACAATGGTCTCTCCGACAGACCGCGGTGGTCACCGGCTCAGCTTGCAGAGGCTGCATAAGTCCAGGTCGACGGGACAGTTAACTCCCATTTTTCTGAACGACTAGAGCCCGGCGAGGTGGCCACGAGAGGCTATGCTGTTTCAACTTTCACATGTATTTTTTATAACAAAACGTCTGTATAGCCAGCCAAAAAGCACACTTTATGCTGGGCATTTTCATTCTTCTACTGTCTGTACAAGGCTAGATCTTCCCGTAAGGGCAAACGCGCATGCATATATGGCTATGTGTAAATGCTGGCCAACAAATGGCTTGCTTGGATCTCAGTCTGTGCTTGCAGACATCAGCGCGTACGTATACTTTCATAAGTATATTTGTCGGCCCACTGCCCTCAGACAGATGGGCGACCGGACACATGCATTTCTTCCATCTGATCCCAACCAGGGAAGACAATTGAGAATTCACATACACAAGCACACACACACACACA